GGTGATGATCGGACTCTTACCGGATCGGGGTTCGGTCTTGCGATCACGGCGAAGGTGGACAGTCCGTCACACACGCATGCGGTGCTGGAGTCGCGCGCCACCGATCTGCAGCCGCGCGCGGACCAGGAGCCGAGCAGAGACGCGCTGCACACACACACATAAGAGTTAGATACACTGTCAAATAAACCCCGCACACACACACTCACACACACACACACACATAAGAGTTAGATACACTGTCAAATAAACCCCGCACACACACACTCACACACACACACACACACTCCAGACCACAGTACAGTGATGCTCTCAGTTGTTGTGTTTTTGAAATGCTTCTTCTTTGATTTTATAATACAAATAAAGGTTCTTCTGTTTATTAAAATCAGACTAAGAAAAAATGCTTTTTTTAAGAATTGATCACTGAAAGGTTCTTTCATTAAATCACTGCACAAAAAAAGAAATCTTAGTCTGAAAGGCAGTAAATTATTCCTCATGCATAAATCATGCATAGTGTCATTTTGATTATTTTTAGTGGCATTACTGACTTCTTATTTATTTACTTTCCTTTCTGTCAGGATTTGTGCATTATTTGTGTTAGTATAGTTAGTATTACTATTAGTATTAGTGAGTGTGAGAGAGAGAGAGTGTGTGTGTGTGTGTGTACCTGTTTTTCTATTCTGGTGGGGACTTAAACCTGGGAGACGATCGATCGATCAGAATCACTCGTATTGATCAGGTGCACATCAGTCAAGAGTTCAGACACATTTCAAACTCGTCACTGATCTTTGCTTTGATTTTCCTTCACTATCTGCTCTGACGTCACATGTTTTAATAAAAACAATAAAAGTGCATATGTAAAATAAATAATCAATAAAAATCATGAGTTAAATCAAACAAAATAAACTGAATAAATAAATAGAATAGATTTTATTTGATAAATAAAACTGAATTTAATCAAATATAGTAAATTGAATAAAACAATATTTATTAAGATTAGTGAATGTTTTAATCTGCATTTTATCTCTTTGTAATGAACTGATTATTTGTGACCCTGGAGCACAAAACCAGTCATAAGGGTCCATTTTTTTTTAAATTAGCTGAATCAATAATCTTTGCATTGATGTATGGTTTGTTAGGATAGGACAATATTTGGCTGAGATACAACTATTTGAAAATCTGGAATCTGAGGGTGCAAAAAAATCTAAATATTGAGAAAATCATCTTTAAAGTTGTTCAAATGAAGTTCTTAGCAATGCATATTACTAATCAAAAATTAAGATTTGATATATTTACGGTAGGAAATTACTAAATATCTTCATGGAACATGATCTGCTTTTGTGCTGCAGGGACACATTTAACAAAAAAACATAACATTTGAGTTTCATCAGGACATTCATATGAAGTTTGTCAGCAGAATGCAAGCAATGTTTGAGCTCTTGTACCTCTGGAAGGACAGGATGGGAGCCAAATTTCTGTAGAGAACGATCCCCGTGACAAACCCAGTGCTCTGCTCAGCATCTACACACACATTCAGAGCCGCATTAGTCTCAATACTCAGGAAACAAACGTCAGAATGTGTGTGTGTGAGTGTGTGTGTGTGTGTGTACCTGGCACGTCTAGACTCAGAGCGCTGCGGGACACTGTGACTTTCTCTTCTGAGTTGCGCGCCCAGTCTATCATCCCTCGCCAGCCCTTCAGGGGGAAGGTCACGTCAGAGGTCATGGTGCGCGGACGCTTCTGGACGCTGAGCTCTGAAGAGACGGTCATAAACCAGTCAGAAACACACGCTCACACATCCACCTGCTGCCTCGTACTCCTGACCCCTTTCACACTCACCGAGATTGTCGGTGACCTCATAGATGTCCTGGAAATCTCTCATCTGACGTCCGATCATGTCAATGAAGCTCTCGATCAGACTGAAGAATTCCTTGATGTTTGCGCCCATCTGCAGCAGAGCAAAACAGCACTGATATAGATAGACATAGATATACTGATATAGATGTAAATATTAAAATAAACAAACAGAAACTAATTAAACTGACAATAGCACATACAATTACTACAATCTCTAATTAAAACAGAAACTGAAAATATAAAAAAAGCTAATTTAAATTATTCATAAATACTATAATAGTGTATAAATAGTACTAAAACAGCATGTTCTAAAAACACACAGAGAATCTCTCAGTTCTTCCTCTGAATGGTCTGATGACTGATTCGTTAGCTGACGTGTGTGTGTCGGCGGTGTCTGCTGTCGCAGATTGCCATGTGGGTGCGCTCGAATTCTCTGCTTCTTTATTTCTCTTTTTTGGTATGGAGACACAATGTGCATGTGTGAGGACACATACTTCACACTCACACTCACACACACACACACACACACACACACACACACACACACACACACACACACACACACACGTACCTCCACATCTGCATTGCTCAGGCTCATCTTTGAGCCTCTGAAGATCTCCGTGCTGTTCCTCAGGACCTCCATCACAGCCAGCAGGTCGCCGCTGTACTTTATATTGTCAGTCGACACCATCCTCACTTTAGACAGCACCTCAGACACACCGTCCACCAGCTGACCGCTCTGAGACCGCGTCACGTGATCACGCATCTGGAAGGAGAAGGACGCTTGAGAATCCAGTCCTGAAGCCTTTATGCCAACATGAAGTATGAGTAGATGGAGCTTACCAGGGTCTGGATGTCCTGGAATTCCTTGGAGATGCATTTGATGTGAGTGGGGTTCTCCCAGAAGGCCAGACCTACGGCGTCCAGAGTGCATCTGCGCAGGATCAGGCCTGCAGGAGTCAGGGAGACCAGGGTTAATGCAATCCGGAGGGAAGCACTGTCTCTTTCATTAACTCTTTCCCTGCCAAACTCTTAATTTTCCGAGTTTCTGTGTTCTCACTGTTATACACACGGGGGCGCTGCATCTCCTGAATGATGGACGATGACATCACTGAATCATCAATGAATTGACTTTAGCTGGAAAAATGCCTCTTTGTTTTTGTCCTCTTGCATTATTGACAAACTATTTTCCTGTTGACACTGTAAAGCTGCTTTGACACAATCTGTATTGTATAAAGCGCTATATAAATAAAGGTGACTTGACTGAATGAGTCTAGAATCACTCGATCAAAAACACAAACCAGGAAGACGCAGAAACCAGTGATCTCATATGTAAGCATATGCATATGAAAAATAATGCGATCATCAACACTAAACCGCATATAAATGAAAACTGCCTAATGTTAGCGAGTGGTAGAGTGGTAAAGGCCTGTGAAGCTTTGGGAGTGCTGATGGAAGCCATTTACTGCAGCTTTGCTTTGATAATATTACTGAATATGATCCAGATGTAGTATTTGATAAAAAAATGTGATTTTCTTTCTTTGCTGCTTTTTTTTAATGAAACCTACCTACATTCAAGTGTTGATAAAAGAGAATGAGCGTAATTCTGTGGGTCAAACAAATCAATGTTATTAGATCAGTGTTTCTCTCACATACACTTATTTCCCATCATCGTTGCGCGCTGTGGTTTTGCGTACCTCCACATCTGCATTGCTCAGGCTCATCTTTGAGCCTCTGAAGATCTCCGTGCTGTTCCTCAGGACCTCCATCACAGCCAGCAGGTCGCCGCTGTACTTCATATTGTCAGTCGACACCATCCTCACTTTAGACAGCACCTCAGACACACCGTCCACCAGCTGACCGCTCTGAGACCGAATCACGTGATCACGCATCTGGAAGGAGAAGAACGCTTGAGAGCGCTGTCCTGAGGCCTTTAGGTCAACATGAAGTGCTAGTATGCATGTGGTTAACGGTGTTCCGTCAGGCTTACCAGGGTCTGGATGTCCTGGAATTCTTTGGAGACGCATTTGATGTGAGTGGGGTTCTCCCAGAAGGCCAGACCTACGGCGTCCAGAGTGCATCTGCGCAGGATCAGGCCTGCAGGAGTCAGGGAGACCAGGGTTAATGCAATCCGGAGGGAAGCACTGTCTCTTTCATTAACTCTTTCCCTGCCAAACTCTTAATTTTCCGAGTTTCTGTGTTCTCACTGTTATACACACGGGGGCGCTGCATCTCCTGAATGATGGACGATGACATCACTGAATCATCAATGAATTGACTTTAGCTGGAAAAATGCCTCTTTGTTTTTGTCCTCTTGCATTATTGACAAACTATTTTCCTGTTGACACTGTAAAGCTGCTTTGACACAATCTGTATTGTATAAAGCGCTATATAAATAAAGGTGACTTGACTGAATGAGTCTAGAATCACTCGATCAAAAACACAAACCAGGAAGACGCAGAAACCAGTGATCTCATATGTAAGCATATGCATATGAAAAATAATGCGATCATCAACACTAAACCGCATATAAATGAAAACTGCCTAATGTTAGCGAGTGGTAGAGTGGTAAAGGCCTGTGAAGCTTTGGGAGTGCTGATGGAAGCCATTTACTGCAGCTTTGCTTTGATAATATTACTGAATATGATCCAGATGTAGTATTTGATAAAAAAATGTGATTTTCTTTCTTTGCTGCTTTTTTTTAATGAAACCTACCTACATTCAAGTGTTGATAAAAGAGAATGCTTGAAGCTAGAATAATTTTTTTTTTTTTTGTAGATGGTCTGTTCTTTATTTTGGTGTACTGCATTTTGCAGATATTCATACAACAAAATATTCTGGGGGCCATGAAATTTTAGTGAAAATCATCAAAAATGCTGGCAACTTTTTTTCAAAAACGCTGGCGGGGAAAGAGCTAAAATCAGGCCGTGACACAGAAAGCAGAGCGCCGGATGACTGAGATCTCAGATCAGTACCTGTGGCATCAGAAGGGCAGGTCACAGCAGCCGTGTCGCCTGCGGGCGTTTTCTTCCACACTACACTGCCGTAGTTCTCCTCCCCGCAGATCTCATGAGGTTCTGGGAGACACATTTTTATAAGCCCTTAAAGAAGCTGGCTCAAAACTGGTGCAGAATTGAAGTAAAACATCTGGTTTGAGCTCTCACCTGGGCACCGCTTCTCATTGCAGTTTCGCAGTTCTGATTTATCTCCGTTGCATGGCTCTCCACCAAAGAAAGGTCCTTCACACGCTCTCTGTCTGAGCTGATGGCCTCCACCGCAGGACTTGCTGCAACTGCCCCATGAGCTCCACAACAGCCATCTCCCGTCCACTAGAGAGCGACAACACACTTGAGCATCTTTCATAAAAACACTTGTGCAGAACCATTTAGGGAGCATATTCATGCATTAGCAAGCATTTGGGCAGGAATACTGTACCTGGGCAGTCTCTGAGGAAGCAGTTGGTGGTTTCTTGCCATTCTCCTCTGCACTCTGAGCCTCCGTACGAGGGGCCGTTACACTCACGAGTTCTCCGCATCGTTCCATTTGAGCAAGAGGCAGAGCAAGGAGTCCATGCGGACCAGTCATTCCAGTAGCCATCAACTACAGAGAGGGGAAAGACAGAATAAATTATTATTATTGAAGCTCCAAAGCCATCTTCCTTGTTGCATTTGAAAGGGGTTGTGTTATTATGGTGAACAGTGCCATCTGGTGTTGAGATCTGGAATAGCGGTCAGTTGACTGACCTGGGCAGACAGCGATGTTGCAGAACTTGGTCTGTTTGACAGGTCCGCGGCAGGGTTCTCCGCCATGCTGAGGCTGTTTGCAGGTACGGACGCGATCACGGTATCCACGGCCGCATGTGGACGAGCACAAACTCCAGGGAGCCCATTCGTCCCACGCTCCGTTCACTGCAAACACAGCATCGTTAATCAATCCCTCAATTCCAGGACCCAGACAAACAAATGCAGGCATTGAATATATGCGAGCTGCAGTACCTGGGCAGGCGGCGGTGTTGTTGCAGGGTCGATTCTCTCTCAAAGGGCCGGTGCACTGGGTGCTGTAAGTGGACGTCATGCAGGAGCGTGAGCGTGATTGCAAACCTTCACCACAACTCATGGAACACACGCTCCATGAAGACCACGTGTCCTGCTGGACCTCTTCTGCAGCATAACAAAGAGTTTGATTTAGCACAACACTTCCACAACTTCCAGACTGCTTTCTAGCATTGCAAAAGAGACACACACCTTTCTGAGGGGCCTGGTTCACCATGACGGTGCCATCAGCATCACGCCGTTGGCCGATGATGGAACGCAGACCTTGACTTCTCTGTCGTACTTGACCTGCACAAATCAATGCAAAGCCACATGTAAGATCAGACAACATGCTTGTGCATTCACTGTGGTGCACACTTGTGACCCTGGAGCACAAAAGCAGTCATAAGCAGCACAGGTATATTTGTAGGTAATATTGTCCTGTTTTAAAAAACCATACATCAATGGAAAGATTATTTAATCAGCTTTCAGATGATGCATAAATCTCAATTTAAAAAATTGACCCTTATGACTGGTTTTGTGCTCCAGGGTCACATTTCTGGACGTGGAACTGACCTATGCAGGGCTGAGGGTTGCAGGCCCGTCCCTCCTCTACGACGCCCTCACAGACACCATCCTCAGGCTGGCACACGCGGCTGCGCACCTGGACTCCACCACCGCACTCATTACTGCACTCGGACCAGCGGCCCCACCCATTCCAGCCTTCTGCAAACACATAACACAGATATGCCTCATCACATCACTGCTGTTAAGTGCACATGGTGGGTGAGTAATGCTGAAGAGGTGGATGAGAGAAGGACATTCACTGCGAATGAGTCATGATAACGCTGCTGACATCTGCTGGTCAACTATCTGCATGCAAACTTCAGGGGCATAATAGAGGCATCAAATCAGCTTATTGACGATCGATGTGGCATTGTTTTGCACAGCGGGGCGAAAAAGTCTCTTAGACAAACAAGCGCTTTTGAACCTTTTCTAAACAAAAATAAGTTTTGAAGGCCAAATGCCAGGACACCACATGAGACGACCGTTTTAAAGGGTGCACTGCTTCTTATACCCGAGGTGCTCTTTGGATGTGGTGCTTTTGTAGCCCGGCAGGTTGCTATGACAACCTCAAGCACAGGGCATTGATTGCTTTAACGGAGGCTTGGGGAGCGCGGCTATAGAGCAGCTGCTCCCGCAGAACCACATCGATAGATGTTTCTTCTCTTTTAGGAGAGCATACAGTTTTGCCTGCTGGAATGAGTTGCTACTGGAACCTTGCATTTCACACACTTGTCAACTAGATGAGCCCTAGAGACAGATCCCCTCTGAAGACCTCATCACCTAGACGGCCATCGGTAGACCACGGGAACCAGATGAGTCCTCTGCACAATCTGACTTTGTTGCAGCCTAGAAATAAACTGCTGGTCTCGTCTGGCCAGAGGAGAATGGAACACTATTTCGACACGCTATTTCCCTGTTTAATACTGTAAAGCTGCTTTGGCACAATCTGCATTGTAAAATGTGCTATATAAATAATGGTGACTTGACTTACTCATGATCTCGGCGTCGCGGTTGCTGTCTCTAACGGTAGGCGAGCACTTCTCGGTGTAGACTCCGCCCCTGTAGCAGCCACCGGTCCTCCTTTTGGGAGGCTCCCAGCACTGGCAGGGGGTCATCATGATGCCGCAGGGGTTTCCATGGGTGCTGGTGGCCAGGCAGTCTTCCAGCCATTGACACAGCATCTCGCAGGCTGGCATGCTTGGGTTCCTCTTACCCACGACCAGAAACTCGGCATTGAACTGGCTACCTTCGTCTTCCTCCACGGGTTCCGCACCCAGACGTGGCATTACCTTCCGCACCTGCAGGAACTGTTTGCTGGACTCCAGGTAGGCCACCGCAGAGGAAGCGTCACACAGTCGGACCACCTCGTCGAAGCTCTCCATGCCCAGGTATGTGCGAGAGGTCTCCAGGAACGAGTCAAACTGGAAGGTCTGGATCTGTCGTGGGGTGCAGGACTCGGTAGGCTTGGTGATCTTCATGTAGACGGTGTAGCGGCGAGGATCGGGGTTCTGCAGGGTCCAGGAGCATGGCGTTGACGACAGGGCGGTCTTAGAGGAGAACACACCGAAGAAGCGGCTTTGCTCCAGGGTGGCACAGGTGGCGGATGCTGGCCCGGAGGGAGTGGAGATGCCCGGGGCGAACATCACGCACATGCAAGCGCACAGCGCCAATGAGACGAACCGCCGCTCCATGTTCTCGCTTCAGGAGGACAGGTGGACCCTTTGATAGGAGTTAACTGGGCTTCTTTGATCTGGCAGGGGTTTGATGTGTTCACTTCGATAAATGCGGATGGAGGGTTTGATTCTTCACTAGATTGAAGGGGACATATCTGTGGGAAAACAAGAAACAGAAGGGACTCAGAGTTAGCACGTGTCAATCATAGCACAACAGTCATTGTAATTATCATACTGGAACAGGTCTGCCATCTAAATCATATCTATAGTCGAGAGCTGTACCCTCCATTAGCATTAGTTTGCATTTGAACGAGCCCTGTCAGAGCGCTGCCGCTAATGCACGCGCTGCCATTACACTCAGACTATAATTACAGCGCCCTTCACAGGAATCTCTCTCCGCATCGCTCTTTCGTTCTCTCCTGCCCACGCTTTCACACGTGGCAGAGCCGATTGCATCAAACTGACGTCCACGAAGACTCAGCTCTCACCCACGAAAGTTCAGCGCTGGAAAGATTCTCACAGCGAGAGAGCAGGATATTTCTGCAGGAACACATGGCCCCTCCCTGACAGAATGCAGCGATTGTGGAACTTTCAAAGTCTGACTGTTGCCATAGCTACAGGTGCTCGAGAAATGTCTGGAGCATCTTTGTGCATTATAAGCTGCACCCCTCTCTTTCCAAGCACAGTCCCTCGCTCTATTATAGAACTTGCCTTGTTTTCTGGCGCCTCGCTCTCTTTCGCTCAAAGACGCTCATTCAGGAGCAAGATGAAAGAGAGAGAGAGCAGCTGTGAGAGGTCCTTTTCGGAGAACCAATGTCCCCTTATCTTCATCATCACCTTCCTCTTTCTGAACTAATAGTGTGAGACTGAAAAACTAAAGCTCAACAGTTGCATAAAATAAGATAAATTGTTGCTCTGCTCTGTTGGCTGTCTTCAGTTACATCACTAATGCAGCTCATGTCTGATTTTCTGCACTCCATTGAGTTTGAGAAACCGGGAATGATCAGCTCTACAGAAAATGAGAGTACTTCAACTCTGCCACTCAACCTCTTTTTATACCCCCAAATAGGGGGCTGAAATTACACATTACATCTGTAGTTATGGAAACAGCTGATTTTCGAAAGAGCTGAAGTAGAGTCAGCAGGAAGTGTGTGAGAAAGAGACAGACAGACCGAGACGGAGAGAGAGACAGATGCACAGAGTTTATGTGAGTCCGTGCAAGTGAAGCCAGCGCTCATTAACCCCTGATGTCTTCTGGCTGGTCTGATCCTGGGATGAATGTTAGATTGCATCTGATCTAAACAAACACAGACACTTTGTTTTTAATCCTGGGAAAGTCTGAGACACACTCGGCTCTGCCAAGCACACGCGGAGCCATCTGTGAGCTCAGATCTGCTGCTGAGACATCTCAATGTGTGTCTAGTGCTGTCAGAACAATAACACAAACACCCCATCGCTGTGTGCATGACCAAACACACACTCTTTGACAAACAACACTCATTAATGTCATGCACCTGCAGGAGGAATACTTTGCAAAAACACATTTTTTTTTAATCTACATCCCAAATGAGTTAAACCATGCATTGCAGCAAAATCAGCAATTGAGCTGTTTGCAGTGAGATGCGATCAGATAAGAAATACATTAATTTCTCACTATGTGCAAACAAATGACTGCGCTGCACACGCTGCAGACATTATCAGCCAAACTCTGAAAAGAGGAGCAAAATTATCAGTGCGCAACAACTTTTCAAGTAAACACAGCATGCAGAGTGCATGAATACTGGCTGATTATAAAATGCGCTGTAGTTAGAACATAAGGTGCAGATGCTAAAAGCAACTAAAGTGAACTAAAAGCATGTAGAAATTCGTGCATTGCGTCAATACTTTACTCACTAAGCATTTGAGTGTATCATGCTTAAATAAGCATAAACATTAAATTATCTTCTGTTCATAAGATAAGACGTGTGCAAGATTTCACATACACTGGCAAACGATCTTATTTTCACTAAAGACACACATACAAGCTAAATACAAGACAAATAGCACAACACAGCAACAGCTTAAAGAAGCGGGTGTCGAGCGCGTTTCAGGACCGCGGACAGCGGCACAACTTCAGCGACTGTAAAGAGCGTTTCAGAACCGCGGACAGCGACACAAGTTAAGCGGCTTTCAAGAGCGTTTCTTCGGCACCATCCATCCATCCATGCATCCATGCATGCAGACCTCCATCCAGCCTCGCACCGCACATCATCAGGTAGTTAAGCACCACTGACCAAACCAAGTTTGCAAACCATCCTCGATCACATGTGCATAAAAACAAACGGCAGCTTCTCTTACCTGTTACTGAGGTACTCTAGCGTGTCTAACAAGCGCTCTCCATCCGACAGTCTCAAAGTCTTCCGCGGGAATGCTGGGATGCGGGAACGGGTCACAACGCGTCCAGACGTCCCGGGCTAACGGCACAAAGCGACTCTGACCAAACTCCAGAGAGTTTACTACCAACCTCTTCTAATGCTGCTCCTGCTGCTTCTGTATTCCAGCGAAAGCGAGCGAGCGAATAACGGGCAAAGAACGAAATGCTTTTTCTGCTGTCGCGGTTGGTACTTGTACTCTCGGCTTCGGAGTCTTGCTGCTTGTGGTCTGAAGTGTTTGAGTCGGAGTGGCGTGTGGAACACCCCATCGCTGTGTGCATGACCAAACACACACTCTTTGACAAACAACACTCATTAATGTCATGCACCTGCAGGAGGAATACTTTGCAAAAACACATTTTTTTTTAATCTACATCCCAAATGAGTTAAACCATGCATTGCAGCAAAATCAGCAATTGAGCTGTTTGCAGTGAGATGCGATCAGATAAGAAATACATTAATTTCTCACTATGACATCAAACGATCAACAATCAATCAAACGTGTCTAAACGACAACAACATTACGACACGATATGATCATTGGAGTACATTTGACTTTTTTGGTCTTTCTAAATTCACCTTTAATTCAATGTGTTAATTACAGTTTCTTGTGTGAAATTTACTAACAAATTCTGAGTGAAAATAGTTTCTACAACACCACTTTTTTTCAGTTTAAATACATCATAATCAAGCTACTTAATTATTCAAACAGAAAAATAAAATACTTATTAAAACAACAAAACACGTAGTAGACGTAGTATTATTTATTTATCTATTTATTTTTAGGTGTGTGAGTGTGTGTGTGTGTGTGTGTGTGTGTGTGTGAGTGTGAGTGTGTGTGAGTGTGAGTGTGTGTGAGTGTGAGTGTGTGTGAGTGTGAGTGTGTGTGAGTGTGAGTGTGTGTGAGTGTGAGTGTGTGTGAGTGTGAGTGTGTGTGAGTGTGAGTGTGTGTGAGTGTGAGTGTGTGTGAGTGTGAGTGTGTGTGAGTGTGAGTGTGTGTGAGTGTGAGTGTGTGTGTGTGTGTGTGTACCTGGTATTTATCACGTTATGGGGACCAAATGTCCCCACAAGGATAGTAATATTAGTAAATTTTGACCTTATGGGGACATTTTTGAGGTCTCCATGAGGAAGCAAGCTTATAAATCATACAGAATGAGTTTTTTTGAGAAAGTAAAAATGCACAAAGTTTCCTGTGAGGGGTAGGTGAGAAAGTAAGCACAAAGTTTCCTGTGAGGGGTAGGTTTAGGGGTAGGGTTGGTGTAGGGCAATAGCACATACAGTTTGTACAGTATAAAAACCATTACGCCTATGGAGAGTCCCCACAAAACATGGAAACACAACATGTATGTGTGTGTGTGTGTGTGTGTGAGTGAGTGTTTGTGTTGGCAACTTTAAACCAATGAACTTTGTTAAGTTTTGTTGACTGAAAATACTATTTCACGCTTAATTCAACGAGTAACTTGCTATTTCTTTGTAATTATTTGTGAAATATACTACCAATTTCTGGGTTACAATTATTTAAACCCCAATTTTCGCTCTAAAGTTAAACTAAAGTTTTTATAAAGCATCACGGTAACACTTTACAATAAGGTGTCATTTGTTAACATTAGATAATGTATTAACTAACATGAACAAACAACGAACAATACATGTATTACACTATTTATTAATCTTTGTTAGAGTTAGTTAATAAAAATACAGTTGTTCAGTGTTAGTTCATGTTAGTTCACAGTGCATTAACTAATGTTAACAAGCACAACTCGTGATTTTAATAATGCATTAGTAAATGCTGAAATTAACATTAAGTAAGATTAATAAATGCTGAAGTATTGTTCATTCTTAGTTCATGTTAACTAATGTGAACTAATGAACCTTATTGTAAAGTGTTACCAGCATCACTTTTGGATGATATTGTGATAATATTGTTTGTGTGTGTGTGTGCATATATATATATACAGTATATACTGGGAAGTATTGGGAAGTCTGTTTAATTTATTCAATGTTGTGTATTTTTGGTGTGCGTGTTGTTAGAACTCCAGTGAACTTTATCTGGTTAAGTGTATTTGTTTTTCTCCTCGTCATGTGTCTGTGGGTGTTCGCGCGTTTCCCGCCAGGAGAGCCTTGTGGAGGCGGGAGAGTCGGCGGATTCTTCCCAGAGCCACCAACGTGACCACATTACCACATCACCACAGCAAGTCATGCTGAAAACAGCTCAAACTCCTGTGTTTTCTCAGCATCCAGCGCAATATTTACCCAAACCCCGCAAATATGCCGTGTGTCCGAATAAGTGCCTCCGCTGAGGGCCGAATTCCCTCGCAATCGCTCATGAGCTTCAGCCAAACTCTGAGAATACAGCAGAGCGGAGACTGTGAGCGCATTACTCATCGGCGGAAGCAAAGGTAGGAAAACACTTATTCAGTCATGTATGATTCACGGACTCTCCCTCACTCGGAGACAGGAAGATGAAGGCCTGTAACCTGCGCTCAGGAAAATACCTCCTCGAGATCTGCGTCACATGTTCACATCCAGCCAAACGCTCGCTCGCTCTCAGTGCATCAGGTGTAAGAGGAGGTCTGAGCAGGACACTGAAACACTGGGGTCAGAACGCAAACATGAAGCCTGGGCCTTCATCACACACTAGGCTGTGTGTAAGTGTGTGAGTCACAGTGAGGCTCTGCAGGCGTCACACTGCACTGCTGCCTCTAGAGGGCGCAGTGAAGCTCTTCGGCTTTCTGGAGTTTCTGGTGAAACACACACAGGTTTGGTTGGTTGGCATGATCATCATAACTACACCATCTGCCTCCACTGATGGCCATTCAGAAGCACAAAATACAGTTTTTCACAAGAAGCGTGTAAACGGTGCCTGTTCATGTGTGTAGCAGTCAAGGATCGGCCTTGGTGTCATGTAAAAGTGACTGTTCTGACTGATTATTGTAGTAGTTTTTTCAAACAAAAACAACTATTTAAGTTTTTCTACTTTAAAATCTCAGATTTAATACCCATTTGTTTCAAAATTTGTCTCGGGACCATTACTTTTCCCCCTAAATATGAATCAATAAGAAAAGAAAAGGAAAAAAAGTCATATCAGGGTTTTCGTAAGGCAAGGCAAGGCAAGTTTATTTGTATAGCACATTTTATACACAGTGGTAATTCAAAGTGCTTTACATAAAAGAAAAGAAAAAAATAATCACAACAATAAAACAAGGAATTTAAAAACTTTGAAAATGATTAAAAAAAATTGATTTAAGAGGTTTAAAATTAATTTAAGAAAACGATTATACATAGAATATAGTGCAACCAGTTCGGACATCGCACAGTGCTCATTCAATAAATGCACAGCTAAACAGATGAGTTTTGAGTCTGCATTTAAATGTGACTAATGTTTTAGCACATCTGATCTCTTCTGGAAGCTGATTCCAACTGCGGGCGGCATAATAACTAAAAGCAGACTCCCCTTGTTTTGGGTGAACCCTTGGTATTTCTAACTGACTGATCCTAATGATCTGAGTGGTCTGTTAGGTTTATATTCAGTGAACATATCTGCTATGTATTTAGGTCCTAGGCCATTGAGTGATTTATAAACGAGTAAAACTACTTTAAAATCAATCCTAAATATAACTGGAAGCCAGTCTAAGGACCTGAGGACTGGTGTAATACGCTCACTGATCTGCTGAAGTAAAAATCTTAGAAAAATCAAAGAAAAGTACAGAAATAGGGAGCAAAGCGCAGAGCAGTAAGCAAGAACGTCCGAACGGTAGCGAAGCCAGAAGCCGGAAGCCAAAAAGTAGTATACAAAAAGTAAATGTTAACTGAAATAAAATATAAAAACCTGTAACCGTTAACAAGGCAACATTTCTCATTTTCATTTAGTTTAAATAACTAAATAAACTAAAACTAATGAATAAGAAACATATAGACATTTTAAAAACAAACAAAAAATAATAAAAATGACAACAAAAGTACCAAAAATGAACTAAAATGAAAATGAAAATAGAAATATACAAATTTAATTCAATATATGAACAAAACATATAATTAGTTATGATACTAAAATATGTTTTAAATTATATTTTGATAAACTAAAGCTTTTTATTTTTAATTTAATAACAATTAAGTATCCCACAATTCACACTACTGTAAAGCAAAATATATATTACAATTTTTAAAATAAATGTGAAGCATTTGCACATAACAGTATAATAGTATAATAACAGACATAATCAGTCTGTAGTCAGACTGGATGTATTACTGTCATGAGAAATGTGATGATTTGTCATGAAAATAATGTCACAATGCAAAAACCGTTTGTCCTAAAAACTTCATTTAAAAAAAATTAATTTTCTTCGTGTGAAACATGCATATATATTTTTTTATATGTAGGGAGAAAAAGGAGCCAGACCTCTTTATGAGATTCATCCAATTACCTGAGGATACAAAAGCTGCTGCCTGACAAACCGTGAGCTTGTTCAGACTGAACTGATTTAGGGCAGATTCTAGGGGGCCTTGAAATGGGTCAGAACGGACCGGAAATTACCACAGACACACACAATACAGCAGAGCTTATCTTTCAGACGAGGAGTTCACACACACACACACACACACACACACACACACACACACA